TATCTGACATTAATTTTGGGAGTCATTAAAACAGTAATGACTGTCCTAGGAAACAGTCATTACTGTTTTAATGATTTCTTCTGTTTCTTTCTCCTCCTCATATTCCCATTACATGTAGTTAAATATTTTGAGGTTAACCCACAGTTCTTGGATATTCTGTTCTGTTCTTTTTTTTTTTTTTTCAGTCTTTGTTCTTTTTTCTTTTCAGTTTTTGAGGATTCTATTGATCTTGTCATCCTCTAGCTCAAGAGCTCTTGCCTGAGCAGTATCCAGGCTACTAATAAGCCCATTAAAGGCATTCTTCATGTCTGTTACAGTGTTTTGATCTTTAGCATTACTTATTGTTTTTTTTTCTCAGGATTTCGAGCTCCCTGCTTACAGTGCCCATATGTTCTTATGTCTACTTTACTCATTAGAGCCCTTCACATATTAATCATAGTTGTTTTACATTCCTGGTGTGATAATTCCAGGACTGTTTTGCCATGTCTACTTCTGATGCTTGCTTTGTGTCTTCAGATTGTGTTTTTGCCGTTAGTATGCCTTGTCATTTTTTTTCTAGATGGCCAGACATGATGTACTGGATACAAGGAACTGCTGTAAATAGGCCTTTGGTTATGTGGTAGTGAGATGTAAGGGGAGAGGTAGGGCTCTATAGTCTTATAATTAGGTCTCAGTCTTTTAGTGAGACTAATACTATGGACTATGAGCTTCATTAGTGGTTCTCAGTTATTTTCCTCCCTCCTTAGGTGGGACAGGATGGCTAGAATAGGGTGGAGTTGGGTATTGCCCTTTCCTAGGTCAGTTAGGTTCTGATAATATCCCAGCATGTTTGGTTCTGATTAACTAGTTTTTCCTAAGGGTAGGCCTTGTTAAGAAGAACATACTGCTCTGGCAAGCATTAGGGGGATTTTTCCTATTATTTCCTGTGGGAATCTGGTCAAGCTTCTGGAGGTAAATTGCATAGTATTTTGGGGGTTCTCCTATGACTGAGTCCTCCTGGAGTTTTTAACTATCAGACTTCTTTGCCCTGAGCCTCCAGCAATTTTTCAAAGATCTTATTTATTTACTTAGAGAAAAAGCAGGAGGGGTAGAGGGAGAGAGAGAGGATCCCAAGTCAACTTCACACACAGTGCATGGAGCCCAACGTGGGACTTCTTTCATGACTCTGATATCATGACCTGAACCAAAATCAAGAGTTAGATGCTCAACCCACTGAGCCACGTAGGTGCCCAGCCATTTTTTTTTATTGCACTTCAGACTTCCCTAACTGACACTAATTCCTGTTGGAGTTTCCACTCCTGAATTGCTCTGTTAAGCTGAGATTCCCTGTATTTTGTCTTTCCTGTCTTAGAGGCAGTGGTTTTCTTGGGTTGTCCCCTTGCTTATGGACTCAAGAAGAGTTTTTGATTTTTTAGCCTCTACAGTTTTTACTTGTTAGGACAAAGTGGTGACTAACATGTGGAACTGGAAACCAGAAGTCTAACCTTTTTCTTGTTTTAAAAAAGATAAACTAGGGGTGCCTGGGTGGCCCAGTTGGTTGGGTGTCTGACTCTTGGTTTCATTTCAGGTCGTGAGCTCCCAAGTCGCGGGATTGCCTGTGGCCAGCTTTGCGCTCAGTGTGGGGTCTGCTTGTCCCTCTCCCTCCCTCTGCTCCCTGCCCCCAACACACGTGTGCTCTCTGAATCTCTCTCAAATCTTTGAAAAAAGGTAAACTTATTAAATCTTGCTATGTATAACACGTAAGAATTTCTCATCTCTTTTTGCATATTCTCCTCATTCTGGGTAGTCACTTCTTGGGGGTGCTGTCTTGAAAAAGCTTCGGAGATAACTTTGAGCCCCTTGCAGAAGGATTGCGTGATCTGCCATACATGTGAAGACACATAAGTCAGCATGAAAGTGCCAGGTATTTTCAGTCACTAAAAGAATATCGTGAATATTGTATTGCTATTTCTTCAACTTTGGTTATTGAAGCTGCAAGCTTTCAAAATCTGCCTGTAACTAAGTTTTTTTTATCAGATTTATTTTCTATTTCTGCCAAGTTATCTTGTCCAGACTAATGCTCACTTTTCATTTGTACATTCTCTCCACAAAAGTGAGAGCCTAGTTTGTGCAGTTTGTTGGATATCTCTTATTCAAGTATAATTGAGGTGTTGTAAGTTGGGTATTGGGCCAGGTAGACCTAGATCTTTTTCTGTTGTACTGCAAAGATCATCAGGAAGTAGTCATTCAGGAAGCACATTTCTGTTGCTGCAAAGAATTTCTAAGATTACTTTTTCTGACCTCATTTCTCATCTTCGCTGGCTTCATGTCTTCTCTCCATCCTTTCAGGTTATAGTTATTCCTAGGTGACCCATTCTTGTTTTCTCTGTCTATATATTAGTAATATCTGTACATAGATAACTCCCAAATACTGTTCATTAAAATGAGAGTTCATTCTCTTATGAAAAACAGAAGCTATATGTGTTTCACATTCTTGGCTTAGACAAGCAGAAATGCAGCTTCTAACGAAGTGAAAGTAGAAGAAAGGTTTTAAATGATTTTGGGGAAGGGTAGAGTTTAGATTAAATTTAAATGACACAGTATATTGGCATAAAGAGGAACTAGTTCTTGAAAGCTTTTCTGTTTAGTGACTGCCCAAAGTAGAAATCTGAGCTTCCTTTTACACAGATAGAGCATGGCCTTTAGGCCATGTATTATGTATATTTATGTATATACTTCTTCTGTGTGTGTTAATTATGTCTTGAGACAAAAAAAAAAAAATGGAATTTTTAAATCTTAGTTTCCATTGACCCTCCTTGGCCAGGTCACAGGAGAGGCCACTAGATATTATTGAGATCTACACTGCTGATATGTTCTCAATAGAGATTGTGGTTTTGACAGTCAGCAAGATTGTATCCTTTTTTTGGGTCTCAGGATAATCTGCTGTATTGTTTGGTAAGGTAACATCCATGCAATAGCAGTTAAGACTCCAGATACCAGGAAACATATGATTGTAATATAGACACGAACAGAAAGACTGGAAAACTTATCAAAGCCACAGAAATCCTAGTTTTGCCAAATACAGGAAAATCTGCATCTACAACTAACTTGTGAATTATTTCCTGAATCTTGTTGCCACAGGAATACAAATATCTAAATCAGATATAATTTGGTTATGTGCAGGAGAGCTGATATCTCTAGAAGTGAGCCTTCAGCAGAAGACTTTTATTTGATGGTTCCCGTTAATTTGCTGGGGGAGCTTTCTGGAGACAGAAGAAAGGACTATTCTGTTTATAGTGGACCTTAGGTTAACAGTTAAAGGTTGGGACATGGGATTAGGATTTGAAATTATTAGAAATTCCACCTGAGTAATTTTAGTTCTCTGAGAGATTCATTATGTTGTGGTAGGATTTATGGCAGAAATAATGGCACATGTATCTACCAGGAAGCACAGAAAGCTCAAGGAATTTTTGCTTGTTTGGGAGTCCACTAGTTCTGATAAGCAAAATGACTGAGAATACTCAAGGTACACTCAGTGGATGGCCTTGACATTGTAAAACTTCTTTTTTTTAAGGATTTTAAAAATTTATTTGAGAGAGCATGAGCAGGAGGAGGGGGCAGAGGGAGAACACGCTCTCTGCTGAGCAGGGAACCCGATGCAGGCCTCAGTCCCTGGACCTCTGATAATGACCTGAGCTGAAGGCAGAGGCTTAGCCAACTAAGCCACCCAGGCACCCCAGTCTTGAAATTGTTTAAAAAAAAAAAAATCACAACTTGCTCATTTGAAATGTTTCATTATATTTATTTCAAATTTTGTGCTTGGGCAAGGGAGAAACTTCATATGGAATGTGGCTTTTGTTAAAAGAAGAGGCAAGGTATATAGAATTTTAGAGGGGGCTAGAATAGAGGTTAAGTTTCAGGGAAGTGCTTTTAGTTCTCAAAGCAAAGTTGCACTAATTGCTCATTGTGTGAGTTCTTTTTCTTTTTTCTTTTTTTAAGATTTTATTTATTTATTTGACAGAGAGAGACACAGAGAGAGAGGGAACATAAGCAGGGGGAGTGGGAGAGGGAGAAGCAGGCTTTCTGCTGAGCAGGGAGCCTGATGTGGGGCTGGATCCCAGGACCCTGGGAACTTGACCTGAGCTGATGGCAGACCCTTAATGACTGAGCCACCCAGGTGTCCCAAGAGTTAGTTTTCTAAGACCATCTTCTTCTCATGTATCCTAGATCCCATTCCCCTATTCAAAGACCACACAAGCATAGAAATTGGCCTTAACATTGTTCAGTTTATTCATACCTTGAGGGGAGAGGCAGAATTAATATCAGGGTGGTGAGGAGACCTTGAAATCACATTAAATGGTGGGCCATAGGCAAAACCAGAATGTTTGGCCAAAAGGAAAGAAAAATCCGGTGGAATACATAATAGTACCCAAATATTTGAAAGGCTGTCATACAGAAAAATTATTAGTCATAATCAGTGTGCCTCCAGAGGGCAGCTGTGGGATGAATAGGTAGCAGTTTTGGGTTCAGCATTAGGAAGAGCTTTCTGTACATTATAAACTGACTTACTATATCAAGTAGGGGATTTTTTTTCATGAGTGGAGCTGTGAAAGTAGAGGCAGAATGATCAGGAGTTTAAAGTACTATGAAGTAGATTTTGTTATCTCTGGCAAGAATTTACCATACAGGAGAGTCTTAAGTTTTCCTGGTATAGTTCTAAGTTCCAGGACCGTGAATTTTAGAAGCATATTTATTGTTTAGAATTAAGACTTGATTTCTGTACATTCAGTAATAATTTTAGGTCTTTCTTTGTGCTACGTGTTAGGCATTCAGAGATTAGTGATGGTCTCTTGCACTCAGGTAGCTCATATTTATAAATGAAAAGATTCTTGCACTTTCAGTTTTTGAGGAGCTGGTGTGTCATTTGATTATTTTTAGGATTCACAATTCCAAAAAATCACCTTTGAGATTTACTTTCCTTCCGGATGCTGAAATTATTATTTTTTTCTTTTTATTCTTAGCAATGTCTCAGGCTGTGCAGACAAACGGAACTCAACCATTAAGCAAAACATGGGAACTCAGTTTATATGAATTACAACGAACACCTCAGGTAATGAAGACTAAGATAAATTTGGGGGAAATATGACACATGTGGAAACCGGGATACATTTTTAGAAAATGAAACGTTGAAAGAACAAAATGATAATAATGAACTTATATATAGGTAGTCTTGTGTATGTTTGGTTTACACTTCATTCATTGATTCAACAAATAATGTCAGTGTATACTCTATACCAGGTCTTATACTAGGCACTAGGTGAAGTGAATAAAATAGATGCAGCACCAGCTTATGGAATTTAGAGACATTAAATGAATAAATCCACAGAAGTACACATTTGAGAAGTGTAAAGGGGGAAAGTCCTCAGTGCTATAATAAATAACAATGGGAGGGGGCACTAGAGAGATTAAGAAGGTAAAGATGGGAAAGACTGGGGGAGGAGCAAGTTTGAAGGAGATAAACATGCTTAAACTGAACTCATTTTGAGATGCCTGTTAGGCAGGCAGAAATGTTAACCTAGGGGTCTGTACTAAATATAAAATTTTGGGGGGGTGTCAGCACATTTTAAGCAGTGAAAATAGGATAAGATCACCTGAAGAGAGAGATAAGCAGAGGGGCCCAGAATTTCATCCGAGGAGCTTCAACATTTAGAAATAAAGGAAAAAATGGAAAAGGAGCTGGCAGAGGAGACCTCTGAGAAGGAATAGGCAAAGTAAAGAAAAATCGGAGATGGAGAGAGGATCAAAATCTAAGAGGAGGCGTCTTAAAGAGGGAGGGTGTAGTTACTGTGTTCAATACTTCTGAGAGGATAAGTAAGGTGAGGATTACAGAAGTGCATGTTGTATGTGGCAGTGTGTACTTCATGACCTTGGCAGGAGTAAATTCACTTGAATAGATTGTGCCGTGTTGAAGGGGGGAAAAGTGAAAATGTGTAGGTAATTTTTCAGAGAAGTTTCATTCTGTAGAGAAGCAGAGAAATGGGAGTAGAAACTGGAGGGAAACATGGAATTGGGAAGTTTTAAAATTTTGTTTATAAGATGGGAGATAAGAGATGCACCAAGGACATCCCCGTGGCCCGCATGGCTTTCAGGTGTATCGGTCAGATTTCACTAGACAGCAGCCCCATGCAGATACTACTCTAGGCTGATCTAGTGGAGAGTCCAGAGATTGCTGAAGCCTGAGAGCAAATAAAGTAATCGAAAGGATATACTTGAAAAGGGAGGAAGGAAGGTACTTTTGATAGGAAGAGGCATATTTTCTCTTTGTGGCAAGAAAGAAGATTTATAGAAAGGTCAGAAAATGAGAGAACTCAACAGTGAAATTTGAGGTAAGGTAAACTTTTGAATGTTCAGATGTAGGAAGTTCTGCAGATAAAAGAAAAGGTGTGAAATAGCATAGAAAAAACAAGTTTGTTACAAGAGAAACTTATTGCTGAGGGTGTTGAACGCCAGTTTGAAACTTGTGAAATTTTTAGTGATACCAGTCTGGTTGATTCCCCCCCTTTTTTCTACCACAGTGCTAGACACCTGCACAGGTACATAGATCAAGAATGTGGATGGTCATGTTTATCCTGGGCTGGGATTTTGCTAGGCAAGTTTTAAAGAGGAAAAGGACAGACTTGGTTATTAGCTGAGTCGTCGTCATACTCTGATAATTTCCTCATTTGTGAAATGGAGGTTTTAATTCCTGAATCAAAAGTTTGTGTGTATTGAATTAGGTAAAAACACTGAAAGTGCTTTCTATAGAGAGGTTGAGACATAATAAGTCATTCAAAAATAGTGGTAGTTACTGTAAATGTAAAGATATTTTACTTGAGTCCTTCATGGACAGTATCTTAATGGACAATAGTTTCTGTGTCTTTCCCTGTAGAGGAAACACAAGTGTGGAGAGCCAGTGAAAAAAGGAACTCTCAGTAACATATGGGAAGCCTTTTATTTCTACCTGCACCTTCCTCTTCAGGAGCCACCTATTAGACATCTTTCCTCAATCCATAGGAGCCAGGATTGGTAACTTTAGAGCTAGATAATTTGTGCTCAGTGCCACCTTGTGGGAAAGGTGGGTAATGGTGAAGAAAGCAGGAGTCATCTCTGCCGCTGGGAGATGTGCTGGAATTCTACACTGGAACTCCAAATGCGTTTTTGCACTGAAACATTTTTACACATAACAGTTAGAAATACTAATACTGGTACTGTGGATTAAATTAGTTTGTAGGTTAGCCTGAGAACCTGACCACTTTGTATAAAACTGCTTCTGTGGATCAAGACTTAAGATTCAAGAAGTGCTTTCAAAATGAAACCCTGTTAAACTGTGTGTAAATTAGAAATACTTGTATTGGAATCTAAAAATATTTAAATGGATGGCATGAAATATATAGTTTGTTATCAAAATGGTAGAATTTGTGGAGATAGAAGAATTAAAGTTTATTTAGCTTTACCTTCCTCATTTTGAAGGTAAGAAGACAATGTTAAATTATTATTTAGAGTCATGTTAATATGGTTGGAAATAGAACGTAAGGCATCTGATTCTAAATTCAGTGTTTTTTTATTATGTTACTTGGCTTTTCAACACATTATTATGTTATTTTTTAGCGTTAAATTAAGATAATTGGTGGGGCTGGGGTGTTGGGGAAGATTATGATAAAACTGAGTTGATAGTGGTGGTGGTGGTTGGGTGATGGCTACATAGCTGATTTTTGTCATTTTCAGTACTTTCGTTATGTTTGAACTTGTCCATAATAAAAAAAAAATAGGTAGCATTTAATTTTAAAGTGACTCTTCTATAGGAGGCAATAACGGATGGCTTGGAAATTGTGGTTTCACCTCGAAGTCTACACAGTGAATTAATGTGTCCAATTTGTTTGGATATGTTGAAGAACACCATGACGACAAAGGAGTGTTTACATCGTTTTTGTGCAGACTGCATTATCACAGCCCTCAGAAGTGGGTATGTTGGAATGAGTTATACTAGGTATTTAATTATACCAACATGGTGCTTATATGGGTTTTGAGAAATATGCTCTAAGTATTCATTTGAGAATTGGAAATTTTCCTAAATCTAAGTTTTAATTACTGGAGAATCTTTGTTTTGAAACAGTTGGTTTTATACAGTTTAAAAAGCTTTATAGCATGAGTATTTGTTTTGAGGAAATTACAAAGCATGAAACAATGGTTCTTCCACTTCTAAATTATATAAAAAGTATCTTCATGAATGCTATTTTAATAAAAGAATAAATTAATATGTACTAGTGATTAAATTTTCCTTGTAGGACATGGGTATCAAGGAACATTTATATTAGCAAGGAATAGATTTTTATTTCTAAAATGATTACATTTGAATTATCATTGTAAAGTAATCGAATTTTTGCCTGTTGGCAAATACTGCCCCAAATCTTGCTTACTCTCCAATCAGATTTTCAAAGAAATTCAGATTAATCAGTTTAAATTTCTGTGACTGAGTAAAGGTATTAGAATAGAGATAACTATCCAGAAGTTGGATGTTTTTGTCCTTAGCTCAAAGATACTGACATTGCTTACATTTTCTTTCCCCTCTTTTTATTTAGCAATAAAGAATGTCCTACCTGTCGGAAAAAGCTAGTTTCTAAAAGATCACTAAGGCCAGACCCAAACTTTGATGCGCTTATCAGCAAAATTTATCCAAGTCGTGATGAGTATGAAGCTCATCAAGAGAGAGTATTAGCCAGGATCAACAAGCACAATAATCAGCAAGCACTCAGTCACAGCATCGAGGAAGGACTGAAGATACAGGCCATGAACAGGTACATGGGAAAGAAGGCCAGTGATGGTGGCCGTTTTTCTGAATACTTTTATTCAAGTATTGAATTTACTTAGCAGCCTCCACTTTGAAAAAGATACAACGTCACAATAAATAGAAGTTCTGCATGATTTCCTTTCCATGCAGGCATAATATATACCTCCAGGCGTTAATAGGGTTTTTGGTTTACAATACTGTTCTCTGTTGTACCCACTTCCCCCTCCAATTACCATTTCTTTTTTTTTATTTCTATAGCAAAACTGCTTGAAAACTTGTGCTCACTATCTCCAGTTTTCTCCCATTCTGTTTTGAACCCCCTGTATTCAGGCTTTTTTTCCGCTCCCCTACCTCTATATAACTTTATCAAATTTTCCATTGACCTCCAAATTGCAAATTTTAATTACTGATTCTCAGACCTCATTTTCCTGTCTTCCTCAGCAGCATTTGACACTTAATTTCTCTTTGAATGGTTTTCTTCACTTGGCTTTCAGGAGATAATATTCTCCTGGTTCCTTTTGTATAAATTAGCTTATTCCTTAACTCAAATTTAACATGTCCAATACTGAACTTTTTATTCTTACCCCCTACTCCTCTTCATTCTTGTTCATTTCAGTTGATCGCAACTGTCATTCCACTTGATTTAGCCAAAAACTTTGAAGTCACCCTTAACATTTTTTTTTCTCACGTTGTATATCCCAATCTGTGAATAAATATATATTTAACTTTCTCCATAATATATCCACATTGGTCTAGGCCACCACCATCCTTCATTTGAAGTATTGAAATAGCCTCCTAATTGGTCTTTTTATTTTCCATGCTTTTCCTTACAAAGTCTATTCTCAGCACATCAGCAAGAGTGATTCTGTTAAATTGAAAGTCAGATCATGGTTCTCCTTTGCTTTGAAGCCTCTTATATCTGTCTTCTCTTCGCTTTCAGGTTAAATGACCTTAATGATGGCTTTCAGCACCCTGCATAATCTGGCCACTTTCTTACCCTCATTGTAGTTTCCTTTCTGATACTTCCTAATATATTCAGGCCTCAGTGAGAGTCATCGTTTTCCAAAGTAAGAGATGCCAGTAAAGCCCCATCCCAGTTTAGTGTTTCTCACCTTGGCTGAACATCAGAATCACAGAATGTTTTAAAATTTTAGGACCTTCAGTATCATCCCAAACCAAACAAATCAGAATCTTTATTGAGTTCCAGGCATTGCTATTTTTAAGGTTCGGAAGTGGTTTTGAAGATGTGCTACATTGTAACTATATTAAACTGACCTACAACTCTATTGAGCAAAGTAAAATAAAGTATTAAGTGTTGAATGTATTTATTTTGAAAGAGTTATGCATTTCTAAGAGTTTGAGGGACTTTAATGGTGTTCATTTTAGATACCATTTTAAGCAGGACAAAGAGTCCCCTTTGCAAAATCTTTTATAGATAGTCCTTTGATTTTGCTTCAACATTTCTAATGGTGGGCGTATGTGATAGAAACTCCTTTCGTTTGTTCACAACTTTATTACAGTTTCCTTGCTGATCTTCAGATTTCTGAAGCATGGTTTTGTCTCAAGGCCGTTTATACTTCTTATTCTCTCTTTAACGAACCTTCCTCCAGATAATCCACATGGCACACTCTTTCTTCAGATGTCTGCTAAGTTCCCATCTTCTGCCTCAGGACCCCAACCATCTTATCCTCCCTTCTTCATATTTCTCCACAGAACTTATTCTCTGACATGTGTGTGTTACCTGCTACATAGAACAATATAAGCCCTTAGAGGGCAGAGAGATTGTCAGTATTTCTGATTGTTATAATTGCAGTGCATAGAACAATGCTTGGCTTCAGATAGCTGCTCAGTGACTATTTCTGAATGTATGAATTTTTTTAAGTTCTATTATTTTGAATTAAAATTAGTTTCTTATGTGTAGCAATCTTGATCTGTCTTTGTCAAAATATTTATGTTGGATTCTTATTTCAGATTCTGCTTCTTTCTACTAGTTCTTTAAGTAGTAGAAGCTAATTTTTTTTTTTTTTAAGATTTTATGTATTTGTCAGAGAGAGAGAGTGTGTACAAGCAGGGGAAGCAGCAGGCAGAGGAGAAGCAGGCTCCCTGCCGGGCAAGGATAGACACTAAATATTGACATTCCTAATTACTGTTATTGTTCCTCAAATGACATTTAAGTTTGATGGTGTAAGTCTTGAAATGCTACCTCTAGAATGGTATGGAGTATTATACATATGATTTGATAAATGCAAGATATAATAAGCTATTCATCTCTATTATGAACATTATTTTAAGAATGATGCCTGAAATAAATTGACCCAGGTCTGTCAACCTCACACTTTTTTGGAAAGAAGTTTGGGATAAAAATAAATACATTAAGACAAGTAACCCTGTTAGATTACTTTATAATCAACTGAAACAACTTTGCTTTTGCTTTAGTTGTAGATTTTAGGAAATATTTAAGTGTGGTCTTTATATTTTCACTGTTGTATTTTCCTGTTTCATAATTTTGGCCTGTTCATATCATATATATGTATTTTAAATTGTGATAAAAAAGATATAATGTAAAATTTACCATCTCACCCATTTCTAAGAGTACAGTTCAGTATTATAAATACATTCACATTAATGTATAACCAATTTCCAGAAATTTTTTATCTTATAAAACTGAAATTCTGTACCCATTAAACAACTCATTTCATCTCTTGGCGACCACCATTCTACTTTCTGTTTTGATGAATTTGACTACTTTAAATACCTCATATACATGGAATCGTGACTGGCTTATTTCACTTTTTGTTAAGATTTTATTTATTTATTTGACAGAGAGAGATCACAAGTAGGCAGAGAGGCAGGCAGAGAGTTGGAGGGGGGGAAAAGCAGGCTCCCCGCCGAGCAGAGAGCCTGATGCAGGGCTCGATCCCAGGGTCCTGAGATCATGACCTGAGCCAAAGGCAGAGGCTGAGCCACCCAGGTGCCCCTTATTTCATATTTTTAAGACTAATATTTCACTATATCTGTTTATATTGTTTTGGATCATAGTTTTGTCATTTGATACATTAATGATCCCCACTTAATTTTGAAATGATATATAGATTTCATAAACAGTATTTTGTGTTTTTGTTGTTTTTAAAAAAAAAAAAATTACAGGTTCTTGAGCATGTTTCCTAAGCAGTGGGCTATGATTTGCTTGTACTGGCAGTAAACAAGTAATAATGATACTATCTTAGAAGTGCAGGTCATTTCTCATATTTCTTTCATATACAGGTAGAGAGGGGGGCAGTGCGGTAGAATGTGCATCACATCTTAGCTCTAGTTCTGGTACTTACTAGCTTATAACCATAGAGCTTTGAACTTCAGTTTCATTGGTTTTCTCAACTATAAAATGACGATAATGTTAACTACCGTGATGATCGTTTTCCGTAACCATTGTTTTGATGAGTAAGTCAGATATGTACACAAAGCACCTTGCCCAGTTATTGGTGTTTTTTTTGTTTGTTTCTGTTTTCGAGCTTGTTAGACTGCTTCTGTATCCATGCTTGTGATTTAGCTCTCCATCTCATTTTTCTCACCAGCATAATTTTATTTTGTATTAGCAGACTTTGAGTGAGGTTGGCAGGGAGGGACTGCTTAACATTCTCTTAAATCTTGTTTCCATAAGAACCTTTAATTAAAGAGGCATGAATATCTTCCTTTAAAACTTTTGCATTTTCATTTCTGAATCATGTCTTTGTTTAGATTTAAAATCTCATAACAAAATTTATCAACATGTAAATAATATAATTCCTATAGTCAACAAAGAAAATTATTTTTGTGACTATAAACATTTGTTTAAGTCATTCAAGTATATCTGTGTGAGTAAGGTTCTTTAGAAATTTCTGGGACATGAAGTTTCAAAATAAATGCCATTATCCAGCTTGGAGCAAATTCAGTTATGAAGACTTTTTTAGAATTCTAAAGTTCAGTAAACATGTTTCAAAATCAATGCATTCAAAAGGTCCAAATATAAATTTTATGCAACACCTTATTTTTCCTTCACTAGATTACAGCGAGGCAAGAAACAACAAATTGAAAATGGCAGTGGAGCAGAAGACAATGGTGACAGTTCTCACTGTAGTAATGCTTCCACACACAGTAATCAGGAAGCAGGACCTAGTAACAAACGAACCAAAACATCTGACGATTCCGGGCTTGAGCTTGATAATAACAATGCAACAGTGGCAATTGATCCAGTAATGGATGGTGCTAGTGAAATTGAATTAGTATTCAGGCCTCATCCCACACTAATGGAAAAAGATGATAGTGCACAGACAAGGTAAGTGTGTAGGTTAGCTTCAGATTATTTGAATTCATAATACTTAATTTGGAGTTAAAAGGCAATTTTGTATAAGAAATAAGGGCAGTATTTGTCATGCCATTGAATGCCAGGGTTCTTTTGGATGTTCTGGCTGCCTAGATTACAATTTTCTTTCTTCTTCGTGTGCTTCCTACCCACATTTGTGTATCTAAAAGGAGTGACTCTGGGGCATCTGGGTGGCTCAGTCTCTTAAGGCTCTGCCTTCAGCTCAGGTCATGATGCCAGAGTCCTGGGATTGAACTCTGTGTTGGTCTCCCTGCCTAGTGGGGAGCCTGCTTCTCCCTCTTCTGTCCCTCCCCCCATTCACTCATGCTTTCTCTCTCTCTCTCATATAAATAAATAAAATCTTAAAAATAAATGAATAAACAAAAGGAATGAGCCTCCTAGGTAGAGGGGGAAGAAGAGTCCTTTAACTTGTTCAAAGAGTGATTGAATTATAAACCAATCTTTAAGAAAAAGTCTCAAGATTAGTGCTTCTTGGCTCTGTTTTAAAAACCAGAAAATTGATCAGTTCTTAGTATAAAATTTGCTCAAAATTTTATTATTCCTCTTGCTGCTGTGGATGGTAGAATTTTGCTTCTTGGGGTTGAGGGGTATTTTCTTTTCCACTGCTGCAGTACTCCTTATATTTGTTTGATTTTTGTCATGTCATATTTACAGATGGTAAGGTAGAGCTTTCATGCCCTTGTAGACAGATGGTGAGTTTGTACTTTCCCCTCTTCTGCACCTTGCAATAAAAAAATGTTTAGATAATAGAGGAGTAAATTTTTGGTACTCTTTTATCAGTAATTGAGACATTTACATTTTATTCAGCTTGTTAGAAATGTATTCTATAATTTGAGTATGTTTTTATCATTAGTGTAGAAATTAAATTATTAATGATTTATTTTTCCAGATACATAAAGACTTCAGGTAATGCCACTGTTGATCACTTATCCAAGTATCTGGCTGTGAGGTTAGCTTTGGAGGAACTTCGAAGCAAAGGAGAATCAAACCAGATGAACCTTGATACAGCCAGTGAGAAGCAGTATACCATTTACATAGCAACAGCCAGTGGGCAGTTCACTGTGAGTATTTAAAAGAATAGGCTGTTGAAACCGGGAGCACATTGACCATCTGAGACTGGCAGGTAGTTTTGGTGGGGCCTAATAAAAATGGTCAGGACCCTGAGACCCTGACAGAATGAGAAATTGCAATGGGGTAATTATTTCGATATCTTTTGGTTGTCCTTTTATGAATAGTATGTGACAAGTTTTATCCTAAGATTAAAAAAAAAAAAGGACTTTGATGTTAGTTTCATCTCACTGCTGTGCTTTGAATAGTTTTTTAATTGTTTCTTTTTCTGTTTTAGGTATTAAATGGCTCTTTTTCTCTGGAATTGGTCAGTGAGAAATACTGGAAAGTGAACAAACCCATGGAACTTTATTATGCACCCACAAAGGAGCACAAATGAGCTTTTACTAAAACCAAGTCTGAGAATGAACTTTTTTTATAGCCTATTTCTTTAATATTAAAGATGTAACGTCTTTACTTTTACGGACAGAATCTTGGATATGTTGTTCAGTTTTCTTTCTGAGCCAGACTCGTTTACACTATAGAATCTTTTCCCCTTAATTTAAAATTTCCTTTTTGGAAGGGACTGCAGTTATTCAGGACTTTTTCTTTCCTTTTAAAAATATATCTAAGTTGTATGTTTTCATGAAGTATGGTTCCATTTGGAGCACCCTTTTGACCCAGGAATTTTTCACAGTTCCATATTCTTAAGTGAAGATTCAGTTGGCTGTCCTTTTCCCTCCCCTCAAAAGTTTTTTAGGCCTACAGAATGTTAAATAATATGTATTTTGACTTTTTTTCCTGGAGTCTTGTATATTTATAGTTTTCTATATAAGCTGTAGTATCTTCATGAAGACCAAGGCTCAAACTTACTGTGCTTAAAAAACAATTCTCATAGGATTATTATTTTCATGGTATTTTCTTCCATAATATCTCATTTTTTAAAAAAGGTTCTTTATGAACTTAGTGTCCATTGTCATGCAATGTTATTTTTTTCCATTTTTTCCCTCTAATTTTGGAATTTCTGATCCTGGGAAAGAGAAACAAAATGTCAAGTTCTATGAGAACTTGGTTCATTTACAGATTTCACTGAAGAAAGAAAAATTAAATTGGTCTTATGTAGTCTTCAAGTGTATATTTAAAGAGGTCTTTTTGTATTAGCTTTACTGTCACTTCAGTTCCTTTATTATGTGTGTTTGATGTTTTTTCCTATTAAAATACCAGAGATATGGAGATATTTTGCACTTTAGCCTTGATGAAAAGTACAAGATAGGTTCAAAGCTTCCCTAATTCTTTTCTTCTTGGTAGCCACGTAAGTTTCAAGAATATAACATGGCACATAAACTAACTAACAACTGGAAAAAAAAAGTTTACTTCAGTTTGAAAAGTGTGTTCAGCATTTTGGGTGGCCCTATCACTTTATAAATTTGGTGCTCTGCTAATCACACTCTAGAGAGGCAAGTTAGTGGAGCTTGAGCCCTGCCCTAGTGAAAGATTATTTTGTAGAAGAATGTCAGCAAGTAGGGTAAAGTCATTTTGTTCTTCTTAATTTAGTTTTATATTTAGGGACAGTGTTGGGCTGTTAGAGCCAGAAGGCTTTATGACGATAGATCAGAAATAAGATTGACTTGTGTTTTGCTTTTCATCACTGTCCTGATTCCAGGTATGTTTCCAGGTTTATAAATATCACAGTATTTACAAAGACTTGATTGCATTGAGAAATTAACCTCAAAGGGTTTTTTTTTTTTTTTTTTTTTTGCCCACCAGGGTTGAGTAGTCCTCCAGTTCCATTGTAACTAAATAAACTGTCTAGACATTGTAAATATTTATCTGTCATTTTTGACAGATTGTGGCCAGCTTGATGTTTTAAATCTTTAGTCCAATATGAAAACTTAAAGGCTCATTAAATTTTTTACTGTCTTACTGGAAATATTTCAAATATGTTTTTATAGTTTTATTGTGCCATGAAATTTGAAGACCACCAAAAATCAAGGGAAATTTTGTATTCAATTCCTTTTCTGGTGTAATGTTAAGTTGTATAGATTATTAATGCATGTCCACTGCATATAACCCTGGTTTTGTGATATAACTGCTTAGATTTTATTCGTGATATTAGATTAGTGGTTGCATTAAATAACTAAATTCCCATTGTGATTAATTGAAATTTTGTCTTGAAGCAGAAAATTATTTGTGAATATAAGCTTTGTGCTTAGAGAATGTGTTTCTATCTGTTGGTATGGGAGGATGTAAACTGCGTCATTAGTGAATTCATTAGATGTGTAATTCTTTGCAAAATATAATAGGTATTTGGTAGAGCACTGAGTGTAGTTTGTGTGTGTGTGTGTGTGTGTGAGTGTGTATGTGTGTGTGTGTGTGGTGGGTGGGTACTGTTGTGTGTGTGTGTGTGTGGTGGGTGGGTACTCTTTATCATCACCACCAACCAAGGTTTTGTAACTCTTTATCTAACTTGTATACCCACTCTTTCAATTGAAGAACAAAAAGGCTCACCAAATGAGGTAAGGGCTTTTAAGATACATTATCATTTTAAAATTTATTATAGTAAAATATACATAACCAAATTTACCATTTGAACCATTTTTATGTGTATAAATCAGTTGCATTAAGTACATTCATGGTGTTGTGTACATCACTGCTATCTAGTTTCACAACTTTAAATTCATCATCCCAAACAAACTCTGGATTCATTAAACAGTAACTCCCCATTCCTTTCCCCATCCTCATCCCTCAAGCCCTTGGTAAACTTTATTGTTTCTCTCTTTGAAGTTGACTATCTATCTTAGGCACCTTTTATAAATGGAATCATATAATATTTGTCCTTTGTGTCTGTCTTATTTCATTTAGCATGTTTTTAAGGTTCATCTGTGTTGTATATTTATGTTACATTTTGTTTATCCATTTATCTTTGGATGGACACAGATTGATGGACACTTTTTGCTGTTAGACTAATTCTACTTTGTACATTTTTGTACAAGTATCTATTTGAGTCCCTGTTTTAAATTCTTTGAGTATATACCTAGAAGCACAGTTGCTGGAATATATAGTAATTCTATGTTTAATTTTTTGAGGAACCCCAAACCATTTTCCCCAGGCCCTGCACTGTTTTATATTCTCACCAGCAGTGTACTAGGATTCCAGTTTCTCCACATTCTCACCAACACTTGGTATTTGTTTGTTTTTTAATAGTTACTCTAATGAGGGTAAAGTGTTATTTCATTGTGGTTTTGATTTACATTTCCCTAAAAGCTTGTGATACTAATCTTTCATATGCTTATTGGCTGTTTGTATATCTTCTGTAGAAAAATGTTCAGATCTTGCTCATTTTTAATTGGGTGGTGATTTGTTGAATTGTAGGAGTTTTTTAATCTATTATCAGATATACGATGTCGAAATACTTTGTCCCATTCTGTGGGTTGCTTATTTACTCTCTTGGTAGTGTCCGTTGGTGCACAAAATTTCTAATTTTGATGAAGTCTAGTTTGCCTATTTGTGTTGTTTTCATTGTTGCCTATGCTTTTTGTGTCCTATCTATCCAAGAAAGCATTATCAAATCCAGTGTTAGGAACGTCTTATATATGTTTTCTTCTAAGAGTTTTATTTATAGATTTAGCTATTATATGTAGGTATTTGATCCATTTTGAGTTTTGTGCATGGTAAAAGGAAAGGATTCAGCTTTGTTGTTTGCTTTTGGATATCCAGTTTTTCTAGCACCGTTTGTTGAAAAGACTGCTGTTTTTCCATTACATTGTCTTGGCAGTCTTACTTGAGATTGACTATATCTCAATTGAGTATATATGTGAGGGTTTATTTCTGGGCTCTGTATTTCACCTGGTCTATATATATGATTGTCCTTTTGCCAGTACCACACTGTTTTGATTACTGTAGCTTTGTTGTAAGTTTGACATTATAATTTAAAATTCTTTGAACTCTGTGAAGATCATGTTTCCCTTGTACATTTTAGGAAATTGAGGGTCAGGATTCTGATTTAGATATCTAAACATGAAATAATTGAAATGCTAGATGAGAAAAGGTGTCTTTTTTTTTTTTTTTGAGAAAAGGTATCTTTTTAAAATCCCCTCACATTTCTACTTAGAAATACTTGCTTTTATAAAAATAAAATAGAAACATAGTTATAAGAAAGGAATATTTGCATGCAGTTGTTGTCACTATAAAAATTACTTCCTTGAGAACACTTCTAAATTAATGGAGTAAGGCCTCTGAAAATCTGTTCTTCCATAAAAGTGAAGAGAACACTGTGAAAGTTGTCAAAATTGAATTTTTCAGAACTCTGAAACTGAACTAAAGGCTTTCAGTAATCTGAATATTTGCCAGTAATAAAAACTGTAAGTTCCATAGCATTAGAGATTGCTCTACCCTTTTTCCCCCACTTCTGGATAGCCTTAAAAAGGAATAGCCTTGCAACTATGGTAGTAGTGAAAATCTGCAGCCTTGGAACCCCTGGAAGGGGCTTAAAGCTCCCTAAAAAGCCCATCCCAGAGAATCATCACTATTTGACTTCTCTGGTCCTTCACTGAATAGCTCTAGTCCCAGAACTTGTCTTTATTTGATCTAACTCTGCCTGTGTGTATAGAGCTCTGTCTACAGCCTGTTTGTTAAAAACAGCTTCAGTTGTTCAGCATAGCAGTGTTTCGAGGCAGTGACACCAACTGGGACTAAAAAGAAGGTAGCCAAAAAAATAAAAGGAAAAGCTGAGGAATGACATGTCCGTGTAGGACTTTGAAAAGCTTCAGCATATTCCTGTGAGTATCGAAGGCCGCATGCATGTGCAAGGCTATATGCATTCCCGAGGGGGAGAAGAAGTCACTCATTGTACCTGTGGCACAGCATGAGCCTCTGCAAGCAGGAAGTGAATACTAGGGTCGAGTTGGGAAAAAAACAAAACAAAACTACATGTTGTGGTGTTGGCGGCCTATCCCAACACACTAACAGAGCACTTCAGCAAGGCGGAGGGAGTGATGCCATTGTTTCAAGGCGCGGAAGCATTAGTGTTAGCTGACCTCTAAATTCACGAAGAAGAATACAGTGACCAACAGCAAAAACGCGCTGTCTCCCTAGAATTAGCCCAGGAAGGTCACTCAACCTGCATTGTTGTAAATGTCGAGTTTTCAACAAAAATTTACAATATATGTGAAGAAGTAGGAAAGAGTGAAGATACCCACATGTTGGACTTACTAAACAAAGAGTTTAAGTTAGTGTCTAAAAACGTGTCCAAAGAACCAAAAGAAACCATATCTTAATAAGTAGATATGAGAACAAATGAGAATAACAGTAAAGAGGTAAAAATTATGGTAAAACAACCATAGAGAAATTCGGGATTGAAATAATATAGTGAAATAAATTCATAGAAAGATAATCCTGGGTGTCTGGCTGCCTTAATCAATAAAGCATGTGACTCTTTTTTTTTTTTTTTTTTAAGATTTTATTTATTTATTTGACAGAGAGAGATCACAGTAGACAGAGGCAGGCAGAGAGAGAGAGAGAGGGAAGCAGGCTCCCCGCTGAGCAGAGAGCCCGATGCGGGACTCGATCCCAGGATCCTGAGATCATGACCTGAGCCGAAGGCAGCAGCTTAACCCACTGAGCCACCCAGGCGTCCCAGCATGTGATTCTTGATATCGGGTTTGTGAGTTCAAGCTCCACATTGTGCATAGAGCTTACTTAAAAAAATTAAAAATAGAGGGGCTAACAGATTTGAACTGGTAGAAATATTCAACAAATGAGAACACAGTCCAATTGAGAGTATCCTATCAGAAAAAGAAGGGGAGAATGCTGCAGAGACCTGTGGGACACCCATCAAGTGCATAATGAGAGTCCTAGAAAGAGGAAGAAGAGGGGCTCAACGAGTATTTTAAGAAATAATTGTTAAAAATTTTAAAAATTTGATGAAAAACATCAATCTGCACATCAAAGAAGCTCAACAAATGCTAAATAAATAAGACTCTTGTAAGCAGCAAGAGGAAAATAATCACATACAAGGGATCTTTAATACAACTAATAGCTTCCTTATGAGAAGTCACAGAGGCCAGAAGGTAGTGAATGACAGACATTTAGAGTCATGAAAGAAAAAGCCAACTGAGGGGGTACCTGGGTGATTCAGTCGGTTAAGTCACAGCATTCAGCTCGGTTCATGATCCCAGAGTCCTGGGATTGAGCCCAACATCAGGAACCCTGCTCAGCAGGGTGTTTGCTGCTTCCTTTCCCTCTGGCCCTCCCCAGGTGTCCCAGGGATGAATTATATTTTATAATGATAAAAGAGTTCATCAGGAAAACGTAATAATTATAAACATGTATTCAAACAGCAGGACCTTAAGATATATTGATGATGCAAAAACTGGCATAATTGAAGGGAGAAATCGACAATAATAGTTGAAGATGTTAATACCTGTTGTCATGGGGGACAGTTCACCTGGGCAGAACATCAGCAAGGAAAGAGAAGACTTGAACAACACACAGTAAAATGATGTAGACCTAACATACCTGTAGCATACTTCACACGACAATAGCAGAACACGTGGAATGTTCTCCAGTGTGGACAGGTTTACATCAAACAAGTCTTGGTAAACTTAAAAAAATACACATGCAGGTACACAAACATAGCAGCATACAGACTCTGGCTATAATGGAGTGAATTTAGAAATCAATAGCAGAAGGACATTTGGTTAACTCACAAATAAATGGAAATTAAACAGTACTCCTAAAAAAATACCAGAAAAAGTAAAAAAATAAACTAGAAATACTTCAAAGTGAATGAAATGACGATGTGGCGGGGCGCCTGGGTGGCTCAGTGGGTTAAGCCGCTGCCTTCGGCTCAGGTCATGATCTCAGGGTCCTGGGATCGAGTCCCGCATCGGGCTCTCTGCTCATCAGGGAGCCTGCTTCCCTCTCTCTCTCTCTCTACCTGCCTCTCCATCTACTTGTGATCTCTGTCTGTCAAATAAATAAATAAAATCTTTAAAAAAAAAAAAAAGAAATGACGATGTGGCATTCTCAGACTTACAGAACAAAGCTAAAGCAGTGCTTAGAGGGAAATTTATAGCTGTGGATATGTGTATGAACAGAAGATCCCAACATAACCTTCTACCTTAAAACTGTAAAGAGCTGAAGTTGCTTCCAGCTTAAACATTTAATGATGCATTCTTTTTTTTTTTTTTAAGATTTTATTTATTCATTTGCCAGAGATCACAAGTAGGCAGAGAGGCAGGCAGAGAGAGAGAGGAGGAAGCAGGCTCCCCACTGAGCAGAGAGCCTGATGCGGGGCTTGATCCCAGGACCCTGG